CGTGATTTTCACATTTTCTTTTTTCAAAATGTAATATAAAATATACAAAGACTTAAATTGATTAAATTCCATGATTTTATATGTTCATTGATTAAAAAGAAATTCGTCTTAAAGTGTTTCAATTTCTTCATATTCTAAACTGTACTTGAAAATATAATTTTCATTAATATATTAAATCAAAAATTACATTTATACACGACTTCCTTTCTATACATATATTTATCTCTCAATAATTGTTAAAGGTATTTATATTATTAAAGTAATCTTTAAATGTTTAGAATAGAAAGAAATAAAAGGAAAAGTAAAAAGTGAACGTGATAATTCAGATTATAAAAGAATTTAAACGAAAATAATTGCGATCAGTATTAAACGTCAACGACAGAAATTTTGCCATACATCATAGAAAAGCTAGAAGAGACGAGACAGATTTTTCGTATAGATCATGGACGAGCAAATAATAGAAAAGCCATGGCAATCGTCTTTCGTCAGCATTGACAGAGACGTATTGGATTTTTATTGGCTTTCGGTCAATCAATACGACTGAACGGTACTTCTCGGGATCAGTGAAACATAATGGAAAATCAACGTGACTGATCGGGAGAAACCTCGTTCCTCTCTCATCTTTTTCATCCTCGTCATGCCCATCGTGATTTCATATCTCGAGGACGTTTAAACGATATTAACGAAAAATTCGGCATACCTTGAATGGCGAATTTCATCTCTTTCCCTGGTGTCCTCGAGATGCGGATGCTACCGTCTGCCAACATTTGGAACGTTTGCAAGTCTGAGTGGAGGAAACTTCTTGGAACGTGTTCGACAACAAGGAGGGCCCTTACTGTAGTAGTATCGTGAAATATTTTATTAACAGATCTGTGCCCTAGGCTCGGGGAAAATGACTCTCTGAGTGCACTGTAGGTATCAAAGGAAATTTAGGATTTCAAGAAAATAGTCTGCTCGTCTCTATGTAAACTTACTATGTATGAGGAAATGTTAAAGTGAGAAAAACTGAAGTAATTGTGAATTTCAATCCTTATTCAAAAAGAAACTAGTAATTTTAAATATTGTTATTTTTGAATATGAATTAATATAAAAAAAAAATTGAGTATATTTCTAACAAAATCATGTAATTCTGATTACAGGTGCTACTTTGCTATTCGAAGTTGAACTGATCAACATCAGTGACTCTCCACCGACCGCGAATGTATTCAAAGAAATCGACAGTGACCATGACAACCAATTGTCTCGCGAGGAGGTGAGAGCAATGGCAAGATCATTTTCATTTTTCTTTAAGAGTCGTTTGGTGAAGGATTTAATACACGTGTTTAATACATCTAACAAATTAATAACTTACACGTACATATTTTGTACTAATCTTTATCTAACTTTTATTCCTCTCTTTCTTTCATATCACTTTTGAATTATAAATTTCATATATTTAACACACATATTCATTTTCCTTAATTTTCTAATTCTTACCACTTCGTATTACATTATCACACAATTATTAAATACACGTGAAATTGGACAATTAGAGAACCGAAATTCTTACTTAATTGATAAAGAACTCGTAATCTTATTCCCTCTGCTGCTTGTTGTACCATCTCATCAAAATTGTCGTTCTCGACACTTGGGCATGATTCCATGCAACAATTTCATTACAGATAACGGCGAAAGAGGCTGAGAGAGAAATTAAAATGAACAAAGTATTGCACGTAATTCGTGGAAAGCTTTATTCCATTATTAATAAAACGATACGATACGATTAACGTATCCCTTTTTTGCGGTGGCTCTTTCTCCCATTGGAAATATGTTGCTTGGTGGAGAAAAAAAATTGTTTTGTGAGACTCTTCTCATAAAATTTCCAAGGATCAAAGCATGGGCCAATCAGGCTTGCTGCCAGCTTTATCTCTGGCGTGCAAGTGCAAAGGATTAACATGTACACATTGTGTCGAGAGAAAGGGATGTTGTAAAGCTTGTAACGTTATACGTAAATATATGTATGTATATATATATATGTACTTTTTTTTCGTCGACTCTTTCAACGTATATAAAAAACGTGCACTAATCCTTTAGTCCCTTTTTTTTTTATCCCAACGCGTATAGAGAAACGTTTTAATCATTTTAAAATATTGTGCGACTGACAATTTTTTAACTGAATATATCGCGTCGGAGTACATTTAAAAACATAGTTGCCAGTTTTATATTTTTCATCCTTTTCGGCTTATTCCAAAAGAAAAGAGCTTTGAATAAATGAAAACACTCGTTCGTGCTGAATTTATGTGCTTACCCTTTTTTTAAGATAGCTTGAAATGGGATGATTATAAAGCTCCGAATTGAGTTTCATTGGAAATATTGGAACTCTTATAAATCCTTTTGATAACTGATGAACGTATTATTTTTTATTCCTTTGGATTATTCAAAATCGAAATTTTCGAGTTACGGGATGATGTGTAAAATTCTATTTAATTATTATTCAATATATTGTTTGGCTTATTAATAGTTTATCGTAGTCGTTAGAAATACAATGAGAAAGTTTTTCATCCTGAGAAATTCTCTTCAAGTTGTATAAAAGTAGAAGAAAAATAAAATGATATACAATTTTGGATAATCCAATTATGTGAATTATTATTATATTTTGAGGATAGTAATATGTTTAATTACAACTTAGAGATTTCATAAATTTGTAGGGAGTCAAATTTCTTTAATAAGCAAAGGAATGTGCTAATTATTTTGCAAATAATTTCCAATTTCGTTCTTCTTAATAGTGATTGTGGATTTTTTATTATTTTTATTATTTTTTATTATTTATCGTATTTACTATAATCCAATTAAATTCTATTTCTATTTTTTTAATAAAGAAATGTTTCTATTTATCGAATATAAATACTATACTCTAATACGAATATTAGAGTATATTCAAATATTAATTAAACTTCAAATCTAATCTCAAAAATATACAATCTTCTCTCTCTCTCTTTCTCTCGACAAATGAACAAAACATAATTTCCAATAACTTTTCACGAACAAATCTCGTGCGATTCGTTAACAAACACGAATAAAAGAAAAGGGGGGGACATGATGAAACGATCTAGCTAATCTCTTGGCTTGTGTGCACAGGTGAGCGAGTATCTGAGGAAACAGATGATCGAGGCGGAGAAGGGCAGCGGCGGGGACAGCGAGGAGGTGAAAAAGATAATGGCCGACCACGACAAACTCGTTGAGGAGATCTTCCAGCACGAGGACAAGGACAAGAATGGCTTCATCTCCCACGACGAGTTCAGTGGGCCGAAGCACGACGAGCTCTGAAGCCTTCGTGCCGCGTCGCCGCGTCTCCGGGCACCGCGTCGCCGACGTGTCTCGCGCCACCACGTGTTCCCATCCAAGCGGAATCGCCTCTTCGATTCTCGTCCGATCCGCGAGGAACGCCACTGAACACGGAACACCTCCACCAATCGTGTCACCTCTCGATCCATCGATCGATCGATTTTTCCTTGTGAATTGTGTCTTCGCGAATATCATCATCCGCGTATTCATCATCATCGTATTTCACCTCTGAAGAGGAAAGAGAGAAAACAGGATTTATCTTCATCTTTCTCGCGAGGGAAGGGCATTGGACCAATCGAAGGAGACTCATCGAGAATCATCTCTGGAAAGTTGGAGGATCTACGTAAGGAGGATCGAGAAAGGGAAGGAAGGAGGTTGGCTGTTGTCCAGATTGAAAGAACTTTCTTTCTATAGTGAGCTTGTGCGAGTAATTGGAAGGATTAATGGAATTAAATTTGAGTTTGAGGAGGGGATGTCTATGTGTGCCTCTTTCCACGGAGCGCAAATGAAGAGTTAACGCGACGTAAGAATGTCTTGGACGACTTTCATCCATCTGTATCGTCCCTTCGATGAGGATATTTCTGTTGAAAGGTGACGACGATTGTACGAGATATAATAATCACGCGAGGACGCAAGAAACGAAGAAAAAATTCTTTCCAACGGTGCATTCCAACAATAGATATCCGCGAATCCTAAGCCTTGAGGAGGAAGAACTCGCGAAAAGGCACGACTGGGTCGTGTGCGATCGAAAATCTGGCACGAAGCCGAGGATGTTCAACGTAATATAATTATACAGATATAGATAGAAAGAGAGATCGAAGAGAGAACGGGAGGGAGAGATAGAGAGACAAGGGTGATTATGTGAAAGAGAACGAGAGAAAGTGTTTTTTCTACACGATTATAGATGTTAGAGTAATTAAATTAAGCGCATCGACCTAAGAATCACACGCGCCAATTCTATCCCTCTCTCGAAAGCTTCTTCCTTTTTTTATCCGATTCCCCGCTCTATCACACATGCGTACACACACACATGTATACACACACAGATAAGACACAGGATAAACATGATTCGCCATCCCCTTTTTCACGAGGTATCAACAAATCCCGCCGGCATTCTCGAATTTCACGCGAGATGTATATGTATATATATATATATATATGTATCCAGGACATGTGGTGGAGAGGAACTCGATGGAGGAAGAGACGCGAGAATGCCTCGAGGAAGATCCGTGGTGGAGATGAATGGCGGTCGCTAAGAAACGCGATCTTATTTCCCCCATGATCGACGCTCTATCATTAATTACACTTTTTAATTGATACGTTTTTATTACTACATTATATTGTATGTTGTTAAAGTTGGACGAAGGTTATAATAATAAATCGTGTGTCTCGAGCACAGTTTGTTATATAAGTCGTTGAGCTTGTTTGATTCGCATTTCTGAATCTTTTCCTTCCCCAAACGAAAGAGTTTTTTTAATTATGGATTTAATGTCTGAAATTTTGCAAATTTAATTCTTGTAGCCAGTCCTTTTCTTTCTGTTTGAGAAAAGTGAAGCAGTTTATCGATTAAAATTATTTTTAAAAAATTATTTTGTACTCTTTTGAAACTGAAGGCAAAGGAAGAAATGAAATGAAAAATATTCGATATTTTATAAAATAAAATTTTACAACTTAAAGTTGAATCTTATAAAAGTTTAAATATTATTACCATCTTTGCCCTTTATAAATCAAAGAATTCGTATCATGTATTTAGATTAATAAATAAGTTATATATTATGTATTTTTAATACTTATTTCTTAAATTAATAAATTTTAATTGTTTTCTTTTGCAAAAAAAAAAAAAAAAAATAATAGCCATATATGAAATTTTGTTCTTTATCATTTCGATTTATTTTCCAATATTATCTCTTCTGTTCAATTTATAAATATACTTTAAATAAATGTAATTGAAAAATAAAAAAATAACTATTTTTTTTTAACCTTAATAAATTCGATCCTCGATAAACAAATATCAGTGCAAGAGATGACCATAACAATTTAAGTTATATTCCATTTGGACTTACTAAATTTAAATTGGTACCCTATATTTTAGGCGATAAATTTCATTGACGGCTATGTAAAACAAATTTCAATGAATTTCCCAACGATCCAATATCAATACCAAATCCCCATTTGGAATTAAATCGCGCGGATAAAACAGGACAACAGGAGGAGAAAAGTAGGTAAAAATGAATGAAACGAAACGAAACGACCCATTATTGCTGCTCTCAATTTTATTTCAAGAATTCATTTCCGCAGAAAATTACAGTAATTGCGCACGCGCGACGCCACGTGGCGCGATAATAAGATGATAATTAAATTAATTAAGTTTCTCCTCTCGCCGAATAAATCACACCGTTTACAAATATTTTCCTCTCCTAGGTATTCGAAATTCACTACCTACGATATCCGCAGAAATAAAATCGTTGTCGCGTAAACATTTTCCATTTTATTTCCTTCGTCGAAAAAGAATAAACGAAAAGAAAAAAAAAAAAAAAGAAGAAAGAAAGAAGAAAAAATGAAAAATACGTACGAAAGACATCATTTCGTACTATCGAATGGTTTCATTCAATTTCGTTCGAAACTTTCTTAAACCTTAAGAAAGAACTAAAAGTTTTTCATCGACGGATCAAAAATCGTTTGAGGCACGTTTCAATAAGATTGTCCGACTTTTCATCCCTGTCGTTCGAACTTTCAAACGGAGAAGCTTTTCAACGGGTATTTTCAATAATCCTCTCGGCCCATGCATGTTGCAAAAGCGAATTGCTTCAAGAGATATTCTTCCTTCTTTGCATACGAGCATTTATTCCTGAGAAACTGTCACTGCGCAAGATGCATTTCGAAAGTTTCTCTTTTTTTTTTTCTCCTCTTCTTTTCGTGTTATTCTTTTTTTTTTTCTTTCTTTCTTTCTTTCTTTCTTTGAAGATGGAGAAAAGTTTCAGAAGTTGTTGTATTCACCAAGTATGTATGGGTCATTTACAAACAGTCAGCAAACAGTTACAAACAGTCGAAATATTTAAATAAATCTCTTAAGATCGATCATTTAACCTTCTCCACGTTTTACTTTCGATTAAAGTCGAATAGATAAAATATTTTGTATGTTCGATATATGAAAGACACGATTAAATTGAATTAAGTTTTATTCCATATATGAAAGTATATATTTTTTATTTAAAGTATTATATGATAAACAAAATATTTTTTATTTATATGTATTATGTGAATCAATTTTATTATAATTAAATATATTAAAATTAAAAGAATTTTAAATTTACTACTAATTATGTTTAAACATTTTATTATACGTAGTATGTAAAATAAAATAATAAACTTTGCTATTTATTTTTTCGTGTCTTTCAATTTTATTAAATGTTGGAAATCTTAAAATTATAAAATTAGCGAAGATTATTTTTATAAGCTCAAATTTTATAATTATGAAATTGTTGGAGGTAAATATAAATGAGCAAAATACAAATTCTTTGAATATTTATTTATATATATTAACCCTTGCCTCATTATCACATTAAATTCAGATATAAGTCATTTCTCACTATATATCATCACGTAAAAATCATATCATATAATTCATTACATATATATTATAGATCAAAATTATACACGAATTTAATTCGTGATTCCATATATGAATTTGAAGTACTCCAATGATCGTTTGTGATAAGAGACTTCATTACATCACAATAATTATAATTAAAAATTAAATCGAAAGGTAAGAGGTCAATCTCGATTTATATAGAATCGATAAAATCGTTATGAAAATTATTTAATTCTTTATGAAGAGGAATTCGTTGAAAAGATTCTCCCAACTTTATTTTCAAATATTAAAAATATCTTTACGAACTTTCCATAAGATTTATGCATTAGATATATCCATTTAATTTATATAATATATATTCTATAACAATTCTAATTTGTCAGTAAATAGTAAACTTTCTCATCTTATTTGATGTTTGATCAAATATCCATAAAATCGTATAAAATCTGACCAAATTAATTAGAAAATAATTTATAATACAACTCTCAAAAGTATCTGGATCTATTCTATCTATATTCTCAAAAACTATTTTAGGCCGTTCTTTTTGCATTTCGAAATTCATTACTATTTTTATTTTATCAAATATAATTTAATTTCATATATACTTATATTCTCATTATTTATGTTCCGTTTCAAACAATTTTTAGAGATGAAAATATCATTTCTTATGAATAGAGAAACAATATAAAACTAACTATACATTGACTTGTCTTAATCTTCCACGGAATAATCGTTTATAATTATATTTCGAATTCAATTTAGATTTGCAATAATCATCTAATCAAAGATTTAGAAGTATTAAGCCATATATTATTTTAGACTCTTTCACGAGGTGAGAAAAATACGAACGACAGGGATATCGATATGATAACGTCGAAAAATAGAAGGCCTCCAAGTTTCGATAGAAACAACTGCTTTCTGCCAGCGTACAGAAAGTTCGATCGAAATATATGTATATGCGTGTGTGTATATGTATATATATATCTATATATGTATACGTAATATCTAATTCTTTAAACGTATAACCTTGGTGTACGCGATTCACTCCCTGCAAGGTGTGCTTCCTCTCTGAATTGGTCGTGTTCGTTGGCCTCCGTAAAATCGCGATGCCCTGGCCGTGTGATCAACATCCGATCGATGATTCGATGATTCGTGCTTATTATTCCCCTCCTTCCTTCTCGTGGACGAGCTACAGGGTTCGAGTTTTATCACAGTCAGTAACCCTTGATGTAAGTGGCGATGTGCTTCTTCTCCTCTTCCGAGAGGCCGTTCTTCAGCGTTCTACGCACTACGAATCACATGGAATTTTTATTTGGATTAAGAGGAAGTGATATTATCCATGCAGGTAAAAGGTGCAGGCAGTTTTTTTTTTCTTTTTTTAAGTTTCGAACATTTCGTGTAAAGAGGAAAAATGGTAAATTAGAAATGATTTATCTGAGTGAATAAAAAACATTGTATTTATAAGATATTTAGATTGTTTTATATTTTTTATTTTTATATGAAGAATATGACGTATCGAATGTCCTTAATAAATTTTAATATGTTTGTCTCCATTGTTAATATCTCTTTAGTGAGTGAAGATATTGAAATACTTTCAAAATTAATATTTTTTAATATTATAATTCGAATATTATGATATGAATGTGAAAATACATGTATGGATATTCTGAAAATATATTTCAGAATGTATTCCATTGTTTAAAAATATCTTTACACGAAATGTGTTTAATCAATACATTGTAAGTAATGCTATACAAATCAAATAAATATGATCATTCCAAAGTAGGATTGCATGCAGTCAAACCAAAGAAATAAATCATAAGTAAGTAACTTTTTCCATCATTATTTACATTGTTGATGAAAGACATTCTATTATGTCGAAGATTTTATCTTGAGTATTCTTATTTTAATTAATATTTTGCGTGACTGATAAATAATAATAGTTATGTGTGTCTTATAACAATAAGTTAAAATTTTCATCACTGCAAAATATTATTATTTTTCATTAATGAGAGTTTCAGTAGATTTTTTACTTCTGTTATAACTATAGATCTAATTTTATAAAAAAATATAGTGCTTGTTAATTTTTTAGTTTTAGCAATTAATAAATATCAAAAATATCAAATGCTTTAGTATTATAGAAGTATTAACACCATTTCAACATTTCAGACAATGATTGATCAAGCGAGAAAATTAGTTTCCACGTTAGTATGATTGGCATTTGTTATTAACAGTATGTGAACTCGTGGCTAGCAGAATAAATCAATGTTTCGCACTTGCATACATAATTATGAATGGTGGTTAATAGATTTCGAAAATTATTAAGCGCGTTCATCATCTATAAATCGAATAATTTTCAAACATAAAATTGTTTACTACCAAAATTGCTTGAGATATTTTATACTTTATCGTATATCCACTGAATTTACAAGATTTATTTTAAAATCAATATATAATAAATTTGATATTCGTTTAAAAATAGTTGATGATCGAATCAATTGATTGATAAATATAGATCGAAACATATATATTCTATTATATTTTTTTCTAAATAGTTTTAAAAAAAGAATTTAAAAGATAAGGATTTTCTCCAATTCAATTGATCAATAGTGGCTGTTTTCACTTCTTCGATTCCCGATGTGTATTCCAAACACGAAATCGGAAATTCGTTTGCAGAAGTCGATCAATTCTATCCAGGACACGGAAATAATATAGAAACTAATCGAATAAAGGAATAAAAAGTCGCAAAACAACAGTCATTAGAAATCAATGAAAATAAAATACATATCATGTATAATTTTTAAAAGTTAAAAGCTAATTGTATTACGACAGTGAATATATATATTTGTCTTTTTCCATCGTATTTTATTTACTCAAATCTTACTTTTGACAAATGAATGTTATATACAAAAATATTGATTGAGTCACTTTTTTTATTTATAACAATTTCAATAAATTTAACGTGTATTATTGCATAAAAACTAAAACACAAAGTAATATATATAATATAATATATATAAACACAAAGTAATATATAATATATAATTCTACCTTTCAATACCATTTTCATTTAAACTAACAATCCCATACACAACATAACATATGCATTCCAATGATTAAATCTATTCGAACAATTCAATATAGAGAAAGAATTATTCCTAATATATATCATTCTGAATATATCAGTCGATGTATCGTGGTATTCTCTAAAATAAAGATATTTCATATAATAAAAATACAGAGTTGGAGGTCATAAAAAAGTTAAAAAAATGATAAAAAACGCGCTTAGATTGGCAGAAAATAAC